CCAAATGTTTTCTGAATTCGAAAAAATTTTATTCTGAGGTTCTCAAAGATCGCTGGTAATAGTTATATAGAGCAAACCTTTGACTACATTGTACTCATTTTAGATTACATGAGTCGCGTTTAAAAAGTCCGTTATAATTATTAAATAAAAACCGTGACTTTTGATTACGTTTACCGCGCAAAAGTACCGAAAATCCCAAAAAGCTGCTTTTTCAAAGCAAAACAAACTTGGTTATATTGCACAAATAATGTTTAATAAGAATCGCGTTTCAATTCACAGAAATTTCAAAAGATTTCGCGTATTTGCTGCAGTTGCGCGTGTCATGATTTTGCCAAGAATCGAGACTTCTGAAGAAATAATTTTTTGAAACTAAAAACAGCAGATCAGAAGATGCTAAAAATATTACCTGTAGTTGAGAGTTGCCCTACTTGATCCATACTTAACTCTTTGAAACTTTAAAATGGAATTTTTCAAAGTTAGCCTAACTTAGAGGAGATAAATTGACAAGTGGAGAATTTTGGCAGTTATCAAAAACAGCATACAAGATTTTGGTTCGAAAATGTATATAAGAAAGAGAAAGAAATGCAACGAATGCATGTTAAAACTCATCCATGTCTTTATTGTGCGTGGTTTTATAGTGCTTTGAAAAACGGATAAAACTTTCGGACAACCTTGTATTATTAGGCGAAATTTTAGCATTTCTTGGGTCTTATGGACCAACTTAATAAACCCAATTACTTTATAATCAAACTTCTTTTATAGCACTGCAATTTGAACTCCTTCAAAAAATAATTTCTGATTATTTCTCACCAGACGCTATACTAGTCAATGGATTTTTTCGCTGTCTAGACTTCTTCACAAACACATCTTCCAGCAGAATATGCAAATACGGACGAAAATGTTGGAAAGTATAATTTTGCACTAAAATAACCGAATGAACTTACATGCAATAACTTACATACATGAATACCTCCATTATAGTTTGCCGAAAAATCACTATGTTTACTTATGGCTAGAGCCAAGATATATCAGCTTTTCCTTCTTGAGTTGTGTTAATTAGGTTACAATAGAATGTATGCTGCGGAGCTAAAGTCTAACTTAAAAATGAAAAACAAAGAAAACATTTTGATACACAGTAACAGTCACATGTGCCCCTACCCTGAAACAAATTCAGTATCGCAAATGAGCTGGTATATGCTGAAATACGATCTGGTACATACATACTATATGGATTGAGATTCAATAGATTTTTCATTTTCGATGGTAAACAACTAATTTGCGGCACACGGTACTATTTCCGAAAAACTGATGTGGATGAAGGACATTACAGTATTTAGGTTAAGAAGAAAAAAATTTAACTCACTAATTTGTTCATTATCAACTATAAAAATCTGATCTAAATTGAAATTCTCACTTAAACGGATCATTTCCAAGGCTATTCTTGTCCTCTCTTCTAGAAAGGGGCTACCATATTTCATATTCTGTGAAAGAGCGCTCCGATTGAACAGTATAAAAAGTGGACGAAATTTCGTAAGGTTCAGGGAGGTTATTCGGTTTTCAGAAAAAAGACCAGTCTGCCGGTAAGTGGCTGTAACCTGATACAAAACATATTTTCTCTACGGTATTTGAAATGGATTTTACTTCAAATATCGTTTTCCGATATTTAGCACTTTTTTCTTCAACTTTATAAAAACGAATGCTATAAATGAGGTTGATCCATAAGTCTTGCACCGAAATCTTTATAAAACCTAACTACCTAACTATACGTCCTTTCACAGCATTCTTTCAATCCAGTGTAGCTTGTTGTGTTAGAAAGAATAAAAGAATACGCTTTCTAGTAGTGTTTAGAGCAGTAATCTTTTTATTTACATCACGTTTATTAAAGCTGATTTAATACCCTGTAATTTTTGATTTTTGGCTTCTAAAAATGCTAAAAGGTCTAAGAAAATCCGATTCTATATTTGATATTGTTATTGGTATACGACCTGGTCGTTCAACCGTGAAAAGTTTATAACGAGTGGATGTTTCTAATGGAAGTTATGTATTTCAACTTCAATTTGACATTTCCAGTTTGCCTTAGGAAATTTTCTAATTTGGACAGTCAGGTAGAGCACTTAATGTAGGTTTAAAAATTCAGGAATGTAACTGGAAAAGTTGTTTCAAACATTTTTGGTGACTTTAGTATTTTTTGGTGCAAACTTACGGATCAACCCGATAAAGGCTTATCTTGGGCTCATAAGACAAATTAACATCAGCATCTAACAGTCAAATTTTTTTACTTCAAGCGTACAGATAAAAGCAGATATAACTCTTAGTGTAAGCCCTCAATGGCCAATTTCTAGTCAAAGCGTCTGAATGTATGCTGACCTCACGCTTATTCGTATAGGTACACGCTTCAACACTTCATTACACCCTTGCACGCAATCGAAAGTACACAGAGAGAAAGTGCAGACACAGGTTTCTTAATAATTTAGCAGCCTGCTAAGCTTCTTAACGACAAGTGATTTAACAAATGAAGGTCAGTGATAAGCCGCAATTAATTTCAAGTAGGAGCAAAAGCTAGCCGTAAATGTAAATTGAGAGATGTCATTGGCTGTTTACGGACTTAACTTTAGACGCTCATAGAAAAAGTTCATGCATAATTGATGATCATCACTTATCAAAGGGACTCCATGTTTTTATTATCTTGGCATGAACTTAATCTGACCAAAATTATTTTTTGAGTGTGAAAGGCAGTGCTCGAAGATAGTTTTGAAACTTAAATAGAAAAATTCTCCCTAGTACTGCAAACCTTTATGACTTTCCCTTGAGAATCAACCTGCTCAGTAAGGCTCAAAAAAATTCGAGCACAAAGAGAATGACAGATGACAAAGAAGACTGTTCAAATCGTACCGTGCTCCGTTGGATTAGAGCGCTCTTTCCTTTCTGAGGTCAAAAATTTTGTACTTGCCCGCTCCCCATATGCGTCTGCAAGCATCCATGCGCGATCTGAGCTCTTTTATAATCAAAGACTCGAGAAAGGAAAGATTCTAGCTTTGAGATCTATACCAACAATGAAGAGCTAAGTGCTATCAAATAGATATATAAAAAGCCATTCAATTCTCGGCCCCTTCAATGAAAGCGGTTTTAAAGAACGAATCATTTGTACTAATAAAACTGAAGTTGGAAACAAACCACACAACAGCTCACCAAACTGATATCAACTTTTTTACTTTCATACGCAACCCAAAATCTTATTTAAGCAACACCAAAACATAACCCATGAAGGCCTCCATTACTGCCAACAAATATATACAGTTAAACCTGGATAAACCTAGGTCAGGAAAATTGATCAGTATTCTTGCAAATTCCTGCACTGGACTAGTGGCAAGAAAAGCTACATATGTAGCTGTTTAAGTAATGTTTTTATTACGCTAATTTTCAGCTAACATGAAACTTTCACATTCACATTCATAAGTTTATTCACATATCGAAAAAACCACTGCACCTTGATTTCCTTCTATGATATCATTCTTGTAAAATATGCGCACGCACAAATGGCAACTAGTCTCATGTTTTTCCCTGTGAAACATATGCAAGAACTCTCACATCTAAAAGTAGCTGCGTTGGATTACTAAGAAAAAGTATACTCTTTGATACAGTTTGATGGAATTACTTATATCCAAAAAGGATCTATGAGAGATTATGAGCTGAGCAAAAATTTTTTGTCGACATTTACAGCCGATTCTGAGATTGGTTTCTGCTTCATGGAATACGACTTCTGGTAGGCTACATTCACGCGTCAACAAACAAATATCCTACATTTGAACACGTTGCTTTTGATGTGGTTGTTCACAAGCTTTCTCCTCTTTCAGAAATCAACTTTCTCAGCTTCTTGACGCAAAACTGACTGAATCTTATATAGCATTATATTACTTTACAACAGAATTGAGCACGTTGATTCTACATTATCTCGGAGCACTAAGACATAAGGATGAATTAATACGTTTCTATCATCATTTCAAAGCATGAAACTACAAGAGGTTTAATAATGTTGAATCATCTAGCCCACTGTTTAAGATTATCAGAACGAAAGTGTTTAACCCACTGACGACGATGTGGACCACCGATGGCCCATGCCTCTTTGCTTCATGTTATTTGTAGGCCTAGTATTTTTTCTAAATATTAAAATTCTTTTCGATTTTTTTCACTCTTGGGAGACGAGGGAAAGTTGTTTACAAAACAACCTTGCATTTCGTAAATAGCCACAAAACCTTCCAACACCGAAATTGATATGCAAAATCGCGTCGTCCCACGGCTCTGCCACGCAAAATTAGGTGTACTTGGTCTGCTAAAATGAGAAACAGAAGGTATGAAACTGTTTTCTGGTCCTTCTTCAGTTAGACCCAAATTCCTAATTCATGAATTTTCAGTTTTTTCCACTCAAGAATGTGTGCGGACACTATCAAAAAACCCTTTTGCCGACAAATGCGATATTTCAGCGCTTACGGAAAAATCTTTTGGGTTCCGATTTCCCAGTCCGAATAATTGCAAGAAACATGCCCTAATGTGCAGTATGTAAACAATCCCTGACGCAAACAAGATCCATGTTTTCAGGAAAAAGTGTTCACTTGCGCTTAAGTTCTGGCTAGGAAAAGAATTTCAATTTTGTTGAGCTTTGATTGGAGATCTGTAAGATTATCTATGGATAAAAGTGACATAATTGCACAGATATTAAAAAGAAAAGAAAAGCGCCTTCGAAAACTATGTAAAAACTGCTACAGTAGTGCAAAATTCAATTTGAAAAACTATGGCTAAGGATGAGCCTAAATAAACAAGCATCAATTCTGCAAAAGCCTGATACATCCGATGCTTTTAGCCCTTAGCTTTCACAGCTCAGCATTTCACATATAAAGCCACAAGAACCAGACACAATCTTTTGTACTAAAATTCGCTTCCTCTTCAGAATCTATCCTCTTTCTATCGGTCTTTCACATCAAATATATAAATCACTATTTACGGTAGAATAGAAGAACGTAATGACATCGTCTGTCGTTCCACAGCTATTCATTACCATACTGGGGTTGTTATTCCTCATGGCTAATGCAGAAGGTGAGTTCTATCGTTAATCACAAAGAGCAATTGTGAGCATGACTAGCACTTTTGATATATGTTTTGTTAGAAAAACTACTGAAAAACTGTTCCATTAATTTTGCACTAGATAGAGGGCCAGCAATTTGTTGCGAGAAGCTTAGGCTTAATTGTTGTCATTGTAAAAAATACTAGAAAAAAAAAAGAAAAAAATTCGGGATTATGTGTTTTGTGACTAAGTTCATCAAAAGGCTACCATTTCATGAGATCATAACTATGGTATTGCCATCTATGATCAAGACTGAAAAGCATTTTTATACTTACTTAAATCTTATATAACCTTTTTTTCTTCAGAAGGATGGATCATGGAGCAATGGCCATTTGAAAAGCGATTTTACAAAGGAACCATAGAGAACTATAATTACAACACCGCACTCAACCAACGATTACTCGCTCTTATCCATAATCATGACCTGTTTGGACTAAATAAGTTCGTGAAAAGTGAGTTTATTAAGAGTAAGTTAAAAATATTGATCACTGTCGCAAAATATAATAGTGTATTTGCAGAAAATATACCACCAATACCAGAACCACTACGATTCCAGAGGAATGTTGGTTAGTTGGTTATTGACATAAAGAAACCATTTAGCCAAAAAAATACATTTACTTTATTTTAGGGTCATCCCAGGGTGTCAAGCCAGATTCTCATCCTGGAGTTTTGCGATTCGGACGGAGATAAAGTTACACAATTTTCAAGCTCCCAACGGCAAAATTCTACTGCTTAGCATGTGGCAAATAAATAAAAGATCTAGCATTATTTGTGAATTGTTGAACTAGGAGAAATCTTCCGAAAATGTAAGAAATGCATGTACATCCTGAGGGTACATCTGATATAACATGTATGAAGTACGAAGCGTACAGTTGCCCTACAATGTTCATGCACTTCCAAAAACCCATGCCTTCATGGCTGTACCTTGTATAAAAACCAACAAGACCACCAAGTCAATCTCATCCATCTCCATCGATGGTGGCTTCACTGCCAATTTCCATCAAAGCAGGAACCCCTTCGAAGATCCAGCAGATGGCCAGATAAATCCACCACAATCACATCTGGACACCTGTTTGATGGACGTTTCCATTGTTTTTTCATCGCTTTCAAATCAATAACTCATCGTTTTCTTGATTACTAAGCAAAAACTAAAGTGGTGTGCTATACGAAAATGACGAGGCCAAAAGGCTGGTGGATCTTCTTCAATCACGATTTTGATTGCATGTTCAAGAAGCAATTTGTCGCACGATAAGAGCTGCTCAATGGCCCAAAATGGTGCGAATTTTGCACGTGATTATTCTCTGTTGAAACAGTTCTGACATAAAATTGCTAAAAGTTTTCCCTCTAACATAGCTTGCCCAAGTGAGCCAGTTGAAAATCAAACACTCGTACATAATGACTAGACATAAAATTTGATTTCTATACACATCACGATACCCACTGCAAAACAAGCAATTAAAAAGAGCACCTCTCATCTTCACCATATGTCGTGGTCAAATTGCTAGTATACAAATCAACTGCTTTGTTCCTGTTACGGTACGCTACCGTATCCCTCAAAATAACAACATATAATGTATATTGTAGAACATCCATGTCCAGTATATGTAAATGCACCAGAGGCAGCAACGATAAAGGTACCAAAATATCCATTCCGAACTTTTGACATAACTACTATCGGGTTCACAAGGCATATATCAGCTAATTTTTACAGAACACGCCAGTATATGAGACCATAGATTGCTGCTCGAGAGATTCGTCTCCTCCATTTACCGTACACCCACTTAGCCCCGAGAGAGGCGGCGCTACCAGCACATGTACATAAAACTGAGTGGGTCTCAGTGCTTTTGGCGATCCGATGATGGACACACCAACATTTCACCACCTACACACTTATATACACATTCACACATACGTACATCCCACAGCTATTCCTGAAGAAGTCTGTGAGCACTGAACAGCCAAACACATTCGCGTTTCTATGCGCTTTTCTCGCGGCGCTGCCATTGTTTGGGCATTTGCTCCGCCTCTATTCTCTGATAAAGCTCTTTTCTCAGATGGAGTCAGCTCTCGGATTTCGCTCGCATTTACACCAAATGTCAATCACACAGCATCACCCGGACCATTTCTGCTCATCGCATATTGCGGTGCTGCGAATTGCGGTGTCTTTTCTCCATCTATACAACTTCGAAAGCATTTTCCGTACCTGATAGCTCACTATATACACCTGATTCGCTCCAATTCAGCATGAATAGACAGTTTTACACTGTTTCTTCACAAGCTTTTCTATCGTCATATCCACTAATCTCTTTACCACATTCTCTTCCAGGTATAATGTTTTCGGCACGTACAGTATTCTTCCTACTCTACACACTTCTTCTGACCGTCGCCATCGTCAGCGCTGCGCCAAATCGCATTCTGATGCGATTCGGTAAACGAACGGCTGATCCAGTACAATATCGTCCATTTGTGCCGTCCGACTACTACCCTGTAGAATTGCTCGGGTACGTTCTCCGTCACTATCGATGTAGTTATGCCCACTTGTTTCCCATTTACGTGAATGCGCTTAATCTATTACATTAATTTGCAAAAATGACATTTTTGTGCCGCTTATGAGAGCTAAAAGCCGTAGTATCGCTGTTACTTTTTACTTCTGAGACAAGGCTTCCTTAACAAAGCTTATTTGAGCAAAAAATGACCATTTCATATGTTTCAGCTCTTCACGTGCCGCGGACGGTGATATGTAGATGCTAGACGACAAAAGAATAAGCTTCTCATCAACTCAAAGAGGTGGCGGCGCGGTCATATACCCATAATTCATACTTCTATTTTCAAAATATTATGCTACAGATGTGATTACACAAATATGCCCATAATTCCTGGTGATCTCACTCACTCTCCTTCTCGTTTCTGTTCGATGGTGTGTGCGAATAAAATCTTAGTTAAGCAAAGACGTTCACACACCTTTTTCACGACTGATTCGACATCGTGATCGTTCACCCCGACTTCCGACGAAAGGTAAAGGTGATCGTCAGCGGTTAGATAGTAGCGAGCTGGACGAAGACCATTTCGATCCAGAATTGCACCAATGTAACGACCATCGCAAAATGCCAATAGTGCTGAAGTAAATGTCACTTAGTTCAAGTGATAATGTCACTTGCAAATTTGATTACCACATATTGCACAAGCACTTCCGCCTTTCTACTCTTCTAAATTTATTTATCTCTTTCCCAGCGCTTGTTTACTCGAAACGTGGGTGAACATGGTAAACTACTTTGTAAGCTCTCATCATTTCACATTTCTCACATTTTTTGAGCGCGAGACAATATCCGTAAAAAATTCTATGTGCGACCATCTAGGTTTCTCTGCTCACATAGTGGTTTGTAAAAAACATCGAAAAAGTGCTACAAAAGCTTTCTACAAGCTCAATTTGATATAAGAGATTGCAAGTTTTCTAGAGTTTCGAACAAGATCTTGGAAAAGGGAAATAAGTTTGTTATTTAGAAATTTAGTGGTTTATTCGCAGTTCCAGATGTGATCTAAGCTGCATAATCCCGACATTTTTTTTTCACTCATGAGGCTTAAAGGCAGCGTACACCCAGAATTTCACCTTCGATTTTTTTGTCATTCTGGGGCCTTTCCGTGCCCCTGATTACAGTTATGACATTGAAATTCTTCAAACCCCCCAAAAAACCCCGATTTCCGGGGACCCTTTCCCAGAGGGCGGACGAGTTTCCAACTGCTCGGCCCCGTCGGCATGCCAGCATCTGCAACAGCATGACAGCCTGCAGTTGCAACTGCAACTGTTGCATATGCTGTCGTGGTTCGTCGCCCGAAGGAGGCGCACCGCAAAAAGCAACTGCACTGTTGCAACTGCAGTTGCAGATGAAACAGCTGTTGCAACAGCAACTGCAACTGCAACTGCAGCTTACGCTGTTGTGGATCCGTCCGGAGGAGGCGGAGCGAAAGAAAAGGGGAGGATTGAAAGAAAATTGAGGGGGGTTTTCTCCGCCTAGAAGCAACATCGGAAGACCGGACCAAAGCAGTTGGTCTTCTCTTGGGCCCAGTATATACATGGTATAGAAAGATCTAGAAAACTGGGCAACTTAGATTTTAGGTGTACGCTGCCTTTAAAAGCTTCCCGAGATATGAGCCTATAGCATCTATTATGGCTGGTTAAAACACATCTGCCGTTACATCATTATGAACGAATTTCATCTTTATGGAAGGACTAAAAGCATTAATGGGATTAAATATGCTCAGAGTAAAAATCCTTCCCCACATATCGTGTCACTTATGATGCTTTTACAGATAACTCTTTGAATATTCATTAAAAGAAGTCTCGCATATAGTTTTTGTAGAGTTCTCTGAAACCACATACCCGGACCATCCCACGGTTCCATAGCCATGGCAGCCCATCGATAAAATGCTCTTTTGTCATGGTCCATTTCCTGAGAAGCAATACTATAGCATATTATATCGATTATTGATCAAGATCAAGAATTACAAGTCTCGTTGAAGGTGCTGGAAAATTAATTCTGAAATTGCACACCTCGTCCTTTTCCCATGCTTCGGGCACCATAGTCATCGCTGCCTCAGGCAGAGATCGTTGTCCGGCTCTTACAAGAAATTCACAGACATTGTCAAAGCATCCGGAATCAGTAAGACCCTTGAAAGTGTTATTTTTATAATGCCAATAAAATTAGCTATGTATGGAATCACAAATTCTGAATTTTCAATAATTCACCTCTTCAACAACCGGGTACAATTTCACCAAATCATCTTCGTATACCGTGCTTGACATTACGCCTTCTCGGGCATGCATTAGATTGATGTTACCACGTAATGTATTTATTTCTCCATTATGAGCAATCATCCTGTAATAACATTCAATCAAATCATTCTCAGATACTCTTTAGCTTTGTTTTTTACTTCCGCTGAACTCTAAAAGTTTTTTCAATTCAAGACACGTCAATAGCAGGAGCAGATGGTCCATTTGTGTTGTTAATGCAGGCTCAATCAGCAAAACTTACGTTTAGCCTAACGATGATGGTTAGATTTACTTGCACTTCTTTTAGACTTTTGGGTCACTATGACGAGCACTCGCAACTCATACGGGCTCAAACATTTCAAAAATTTAACCATGGGTCTACCAATTTTGCATCGGCCAAGAAATAGCTGTCAGGGGCTATGAGAATTCATATCCTTTTGGTTACTTTTTGTCCTCATGAAATCTAGCTGAAAAACTCTAATTGTCAGAGACAGCTATGCGTTTTTCAGGTAAGCCCCTAACTGGTGAAGGAAGTTGCGAATTTCTTGATAAAAATGAAGGGTACATTCCTTTTTTTGAAAAATCATACGTAACAAATAAACTCATTAGATAACTAACAGCAATTTCAGCAACTAGCTGATAAGCGCAATAATTCATCATGAGCCTAATAAGAAATTACTAATATTTGTATTTGCCTTTCTTCTTTAACAAAACAACCACAACAACTGATTTCACTCCCTGTAAACAACGAAAAAAATTCGAAAGCCTGTGTACCTGTTAGGCTGAGTGTGTACCTGTTAGGCTGAGCCCTACTCCAGCTAGGTAAAGTATTAGTTGAAAAACGTGAATGCACAAGGGCAATATGTGTAGTGAATTCAGGATTCCTCAGATCATCGTAGTATAGATATAGTTGGTGAGTATTAAATTGACCCTGAAAATATAGTACGTTAAAGAAATGCGCTCATAAATACATCATATCTTACAAGTATAAAGCATTTCGAGTATGCATAACAAACACATCTCTATATGTTTTTGTTTTCTCATTTCTCATTATAGAAAGTCCTGTCTGTGTAAGTCTTTCACACATTTCGTAAATGCATGTATGAAATTTGATATATTTGCTTTGCAACATTATTACGTATAAGGCTGATGCACAAATCTTGCACCGAAAGATAGAAACAAATCACTTTGAAAATGCTTGAACAGACTAATCAATTTACACAATATGCTCTTTGTTATGTCTATCAAAAGTAGTATTTCTTGCTACATTCCAAAAAATCAATATGAAACAAAATCAATGAATCAATTCAAAAAAAAATCAAAATTCATGACTGTTTCTAGAGACATCTAATCGCTACCGACTTCTCTTAATCAAGAAGAACAGGTCGTAAAACCAAGACCAAAAATAGATTTGAATTTCATTATACGTCAGCAACCAAAAATCAAAAAGTCACTTCAAAGTATTTCTCTTAATCTGCTTATATCGTTGCTATATGCCCTCAAGAAATTCCAACTCAAACACTTCTATAAGCATAAAATTTTATCTCTCTATTAGCTGTCAAGTCAGAAGATTTCATTGAAGCTGAAGAAAGTAATATTTCAAAAATTTTGGTGCAAGAATTACCAACTCAATACATATACGAAAGAAATTCAAGATCACATTTTCTGACTGACGTATGTTTCTTGACATCACTTAAATGTTAACTTTGTAAAAACATCTAACCTGAGCTACCTATACTGAAAACTATGCTTCTCCACTTTTGACTTGTAAATTGAAAAAAAAATGGAGGATCACTTTCAAAATTCACCATGCTACTTAACTCTTTGAACAATATCTACATTCAACGAAAGAAAGTGCTGCAATTTGCTTAACTGTATTTATCTTTTGCTACAAGAAGCGTAATTAAAAACTGAGATACAAAAAATTTTACATTCTGTACGGTTTGACCGCTACGAAATTCTTTACCAACCTTGTAGACAACTGTAGTAGTACTAAGTGAGCATATGTAGCAGTCAACACTTTGTTTAGCCATGTTGTTGACAGCTTGCTTTCGAAGTAAATAGATGTTACGCTCGAATCGCTCCGGATCTTCTGCCACATAATCAGCTGTGACAAACACCTGAAATTATACGCAATTATATTTCTTATTCATTTTTGGTAGGCAACTCTGATCCTCGTGGAAGTTAATGTGGGTCATGCGACTGAAAGATTGAATGGCATTATCCCACATTATTGTGATTATTTCAGGTCTTCTCACTATGCACAAGGCACACGTGTCCGTATTGAATTGTCATTTTATTCTTCTAGTCTCGTTGGATTCATTATTCATGTAGAACAGCTGGATGTCGGGGTTCAGTTAAACATTGAGTAAAGGTATCATCAAAAACTATACTTTCAGGAAGTAGTGAAACCTACGGACCAGGGGCAGGGGTTTGGTGGGAGGGGGGGGGGGGGGAAGGATCCGAAAAAACTTCTTTAGATTGCTCAAGCAAATCATAAGGTGGGTGAGTTATCTAGTTGTCTTGCCCACACGCTCTCTTGGCTATAATTAACAATCCAGCGTGAATATTTCTAAAAGTAACCACTCGATCAATCTAAAATGCATAAACGCTCAGCACCTTTTCTTCCCGCGACCTGATTCCATTTTCACACCCTTAAAGAAGCGCAGCGCCGGAATCAGATCAAATGTCGAAAAGTATGAAAATTTTGCATGACGCTATCCTGCCTTCATAAACATTGACATCATTACATTTTGCACAGAAATAGAATTTCACACAATGCTGTCTACTGAATACTAAGAGGGTTTCTTTGATATCTTCGCTGCAAAGTAAAAGGTTAGAATTTCCATGTTTTCAACCGCACCAGCTAAATATACAAATCGTTTGGATAACCTGTAATTTTTGAACAATGGGAGACAGTTAATCGCTGGAACTTGACCAGTCACTGCGCTTCTTTTACAATCGTGTAAGAAAATGTAAGTCACCTGTCACTCATTTCCCTTTTAAAAACAGATTAGTTGATATTTAGACTCGTTTCAATTAATTTAGTCAATATGGCAAAAAGTGTAAGTTAGATGTGCCCTCTAGAACTTTCACTGCAGCCCGGTTAGCTCAGTCGGTAGAGCACCAGACTCTTAATCTGGCTGTCGCGGGTTCGAGCCCCGCATCGGGCTTATGACTTTTGCTATAGCATAATAATTTATAAATTGCCGCGAGTTTCGAGAGTATACTTGAAAATTTAGATTTCAAAGCATCTTTTATTTTTCAGCTCGAAGTTCTCCAAACTAGAAGTTTCTCGACCAACTGTCCTGAGAACAAACGTGATTCATCATCTCCTCCTGGAATCACTCATCATTTTTCTATTTCAGTTGATACCAAAATTTTCAGTACACGTTTCAATAACATCAAATGTTTCTTTGAAAAAAGAGTCCAGCCTTATGAAACAACTAGTAATATTGAGATTTTTTTAAAGTATGTAACATATGATTTGGGGAAATTTTCCGTTAGTAATGAAAGCAGATTATTTTCAGTTTTCTTGGCATATACTGAGACACCTTGGCCCCGTAACAGAATACCTCTTCTATAAATCGTCAAATGAAGAAGGTATACGTTTCCAAAAAGCGAAAACGTATCGGTCCAGAAACTCAAAGGAAGTACGGTTTGCGAGTTTGATTAAACCCATAAATACAGCTTTCATCCAAGTACGAGAGCCGAAGCAGTAGAAGGCATAGGCTGTCATCATTCGGAAAGAAAGTTTGTTAAAATTTTGTATTTGTAGGGAAACAACAATTTCAAATCAATTACGCAAATTAGGAAACCTGAAACTACACAGTTTTGTACAGTTCGAATTACTTGGAAATTCTAGGTCTATTTCGCCATATATGATAAATGTTCCATTATCTGGTCCAGTAAGTGCAAAAAGTAATCAGAAAAGTTGGTTGTAGATGAAACAGTCAAATTTGAACAAACCTGACGCATCAACGGTTCCGTCTTTCTAGCCTCAGCCCCAAGAGAGTCGCGATTCGTGCTCAACTTTCGCCAGGTGATGACACGAACATTACATGCACGGGCCAAATCAGCAAATGCCTCCTAAATGAGCATCTGATAGAAACTTGAAAAACATTTAAATTCAGTAGTTTCACCACTGCCGTACGTAAATTTCGGTATTTCAGGTATAAGGCGTGAAAAATCGCGGCAATGGCGCGACCGCGCGCGACACGCACGCCACTTCGAGAAATCGCATTTTCTTGGTTTCCAACTCTAATCAAATGCGTCTTTTTGCTTACGTATGATAATATTTAGACACTGGGAGTAAGTAAGCCGAACGTTGAGGTGAGGTGATGCATTCTTCATGAGTCTTTTATGCTCCTGTGGGCGCAAAGTACGCAGAATCCATCGTCACGGTTTTATAAATGAATTATAGCTTCATATGTTAGGATGCGTGTATTTTTTTTTAAATTAAAGTAAGGAAACCGTAACACTGCCATCGTACGCCCTTCTGAACTCGCCAAGTCTTCTTTTACATACTTTTTATCAATCGATGTCTATGATATCTCTACATCCATCAACGGTTGCCTTCATTCGTCTTTTGTCTTGTGCAGTCCTATCCTACTCTTACTTATCAAAAAGAAAGTACTGCAAAGTTACCCCAGCCTTTCAATATAAAGTGTATATGGGTATGCTCGTTCCGCAGCGCTGATCTCGAAACTATTTTCGAAATCTACGAAACGATTCTTTTCAAGGAGTTATGAAGGCATGCCATGAAAGTGTAGAGGAGAGGATTGCACTGGAGAGGGAATCGAAGAGGTTGCCTGGTGCTATATGATATAGAGTGGTTGAGTGGTTGGTAACTACTGCCAAGCAAGGTATCCTTGGTAAAACTTTCAGTTTTGCTCTTTGTCTGAAGAGTTATTTTTGGACACACTGATGTTTTGAGAAACTCGAAGAAAATATGCATTTTGATGTATATAGTTTGACGCCCATATTCAAGGCATTCCTCGCCACTTCGAGTGTAAATGGCTTTTAAACTTAGTTAAGAGGATCATTTCGCATATTTCAAAGGTGGTTTCAAGATCAGCGTTACAAAGCGAACATTTCTATAACATACGTTGAAAGGCCGGGGTAACCTTGAGTACTTCCCTTGTTAGTAGTTCAAAGAATGTTCACTTAACATTATATAAAAGAACAGTCAAGACAATGCCTTTCAAAGGAAAATTATAGATTAATTAACTGATAGCTTCTGTGCTGTTGAACTCCGATTGGAAGAATGTACTTGGATGGATATACCTTACTCAAGCATTTAGTTCGCAAACTCTACTAATACGGTTTTGGAGCAAATAAGCAAAATAAGTCGTACTAGGATGTCCTCAAGAGGTCGTGTGCGCTACTCACCATTTGTACTGGCACTTTCACTTTGTAAAAAAGAACGGCAATCAAAGCTGCTCAGTATATTTGAAGATGCAAAATCTAGATGTTATATAATAAACTCCTAGCCAACGTATTTTTGCACAGATATTTAATTTTCCTCTGAGAAAGTTGCGTTTACATGAATCAATACATACAACTGCATTGCAGATTGATAATATGGCTAAACATCCATTCTACCCAGCAAAAGCTCTTTGACATCCTGATACGAGACGACCAAAATTTTCCAAAAACTTGTGACCATAACTTACAGGCACATGAACATGATATGGAACTCTGGTAAATCTTTCTTCAGAGAAAAAAAAATTCAGAAAGCTGCAGGGGATCCATAGCTCACCTTCGCTTGTGCATAAGAATCTTCATGAAGAAATAGAATCCCAGTGGCATATTGTCCAGGCGGTGGAAGCTCCACATTATCTTGTCTGAATAATATTGATTTGAGAAATACGATTGGTTTTTAGGGAAGGAAGGTATAGTTAGATGAAGTCGTCACATGAATCAAAATAATTAAATATCGAGAAAACCTCTAATCCTGACAACGTCATTTGCCACCAGGCTGAGCCTTTTGAACCACAGCATGTAAACAATCATGTCAAAATGACAAAGTGGGCAAATTCTACCAACATTCAATATCAGCTTCGTCGTTTAAAGATAGAAAATCTCTCTTTTTCAGCATTCATAGTATGGTCTATTTGGTCGCCTAGATTTCCTTTATTCTCTGAATAAACACTTTCATTGTTGGTAACCTCAATCCTTATACAAACCTGAAAACTATGTGCGCATTGGCTATTTGCTACACTGCTACAACAATCTAATCGTATCTTCTGCATGAGCAAAGCCTAGGAATTTGGAATGAAAATTTGACTAACAAGTCCAAAGAAGTTAAGATACAGAATGTTGAATGGAATAAAAATAGAAACTAAATTTATTAGTATTCTCCGCTTCATCCCTTTTCTTGTACGGAGTTTTCAACTAGGCCCTTTCCGGGATCTTCTGTAAGGAGCAAAGGGCCGCAACGTTTTGAAAATAATTTTCGGAAAAGTAATATATCTCCTTTGTTCTGAAAATTTCTTTTTTAATCGGACGATGCTGATTCAAGAGCAGACAGTGTTGCAAAAAATGGCGAGTCAAAATCGCATCTAGCAAAAACCAAAACAACCGTTCAAAAAAACTCAAAAAACGCAAAAGCTGCCCAGCAATTGTCTTTGATAATCAGATGTAGTAAATGTAAATGAATACTTGCAAAACAGTCGGTCTCGTGGAGAGATTTGCACTTGAATAATGAAAAAAAAAGCATCATGCTTGGATGCATGAGATCCTAATTGCTTAGAGAGATGATTAGAATAAAAAAGTAATAGCAAGCATGAAACTAACATTTGTAACATGTTGGCGTAGATCAAGCTATGTAAACTGATCAAAAATTTTCGAACCACTTCCTCTCCTACGGATTACACGCCCTATTTGAAAACGCGATAGCAAAGGTGATGAGATAATTGTCGTACAGACTCCACTATGCCATAAGAATCTCAAGCATTGAGAAAATTGTAACCGGTCTGCATACTTTGCTCGTCGTAGCTGCAGTTCAGTCATTTCGTATCTCAATACTTCTGGATCTATGGTATCCTGAGCGTAACTATGCTACCATTTGATTCAACTGGCTTGGCGACTGGGAGGCGGGGCTTTGTGACCTAGTTAAAGCTAGAGAATGCAGAGAGCCCGCATGCGAGAGAGAAGCAGACTGCGTTGCGGGCGAGAGCGGCCTTAATTAAGCACAAAGCCCCGCCCTCCAGCCACCAAGCCAGTTGAATCAAAGGCTATATGCGCTGACCATTTTGCCTAGATGGTCATGGATCACTAGATTATTATCTGTTCGTAAAGAAATAGAAAAACTTTGTAAACTCATCGAGAGAAAAAGTTGCGCGCAATAGGAACGGTTTGTACTTTTACACAACTTGAAATGCGAAATGATCTATTGTACATATAGTACTACTATATAGTTGCTGAATGAAATCAGCCTGCAAATCCCCTCCTCCTCTATCTCCCATCAAGCATGAGCCAAAAAACTTACTCCATAACAGACTTTCTGTACATGAGATCGGGTATCGCAGTGAGTACTCCAGCGCCATCTCCAGAATCGTTGTCACAAGCACATGCTCCTCTATGAGCCATCCGTTCCAACATCGTTCGGGCGTCACAGAGAATCTGCAATTTCACAGTTTGCCATAACCACACATTTTTTCTCACATTTTCTTCTCATTTTCCCGTTTACTGAAGTAAGCTTGGTTAGTAAAGAGAAAGGTACGGATCAGATCTACGTTTGGTGATTTCTCACATTGCTACATCATTGACGTTCTGCATTTTGGCTAAATATAGCTCACAGAAAAGTTTGCCTGCTCAAAACACTGAAGCTCTTAAAGGCACGTCCACCCAAATTCTCGACCTCCATAATTTAATCGTTCCGAAGCCTTCTCATGTCTCCGCCCTTGATCCCGAATACGAAGTTCAGAATCCGCGAAAAACCCAACAATCCCCGTTCAAGAGATCTTGCAGGCCGGCTTTCCGGAACGGTAATTGGCTGAGTGCGCACGGATGGGCAAGCAAGGATGGGAAGGGCGGAGACGTCTGGGGGTCCTCGTGCAGCTTCGTTATTCTAGAACGACTTTCGACATTTTGCGCCGCGACTTGGGCGTTGACTTGATAGAGGGCCTACTATCATATGCTGCCAAGAACCCAAGCCCCTCAACTTAGGACCGTGCTATTAAGCTTCGAAGCAATTGCGTGTCTTCTCAGACAATTATGGCGAGCACCCGCCGGCCACCTACGGGCGACGCCACGCCCATCCCGAGGGCGCGCCGATAAGTGCCCGGTAAGCGCCCGACAATGCCCGCGGGTGATCCGATAAACGCCCGAACAACGCCAGCGGGTAGCCCGGCAAGCGCCCGATAAGAGCGCAATATGCATCTGGGGGGGGGGGGGGGGGTGGCAGTACACCTCGGTAGGACTAATAGGTTCACACCTTTCATTCTTAAAAATTTCGCGACATCTACACCAACATAACAAAGTTTCCGACAGTCATCAGATCTCAAGCCCAAATAGTCCAATAGGGCTCATCCGAGACACTACTGATGAACAAGAGCCTGATGCTACTTTGACTTTTGATTAACGACACAAACGGTGAGGGTAGCCCTATTACCACGACGTATCTCACGCGAGTAGCGTTCTCTCCTATAGCATGTATTAATTGTGCGGTCATGCAAGACCCGGGGCTCGTCGGAGTACTCTGTCGGGCCGTGGCCTATAGGACCGGGGCTTGCCCGAGAACTCATATGCAGTGCGTCCAGTAAGGCCCGGGGCTCGCCCGAGTGCTTTTCCTTAGGCCGCCGGTGTTCCGATAAAACTTAAGGCCCGCGGCCTTTCCTTAGCGATGACATTGAGCCGCGGGTCGCCAAGCAAATAATTTTAGGGCCGCGGATGGTCATTCCAAGAATTCAACGCCCGCGCACCGCCGAAAGGCGCCATTAGGGGCCGCGGGTGCTCGCAGTAATTGTCTGAGTTGTGCAAAAACTGAATGATTCTCTGAAACAGTATGAAGTATGGTGAAGCATACAGCCTTACAAGTTATATGCAATGAAATCGTGTCAAGAAAAGCCACCTATGTGACTACATATTCCAGGTATCTTATAGCTGATAATGAGCCAGATGCTTCATTTTCGTAACCTGCATTTATATGTCCTTCATAGAGCATGAAAATTTCCTGCACCTTTCTCGACTTTCTCTTGTACTTCTGCGTAGCAGTATATGAATTAGCAATGTCAAAACTTTTCAAATGATTTAAAATAAGAGCATGTAAGATCGCTCTGTTAAAAACTGCGTCCAAGATCGCTCACAGGGCTTAGCACCAGCTGCCACGGGGCAAACTTAATATCGTTTTTGGGACAAAAAGATACAAAAAATTACGAACTTTTTTAGTCGGCGTTTCGCTTTTGAGGATTTTTTACGTTTAGGGTTTAGGGTCAATGAAGACTTCGTAAAACTTAGCAAAAATCAAGGGGGACTTCGTTTTGAAAATGCCCTAGTGCCATCTCGTGCCGAGCCCTGATCGCTCATGCCATCGTCGCGCCAGAGAGCCCATGCGGACGCGCCCCATAAAGCAGTCAACGTTCCTGCACATCGTTGGAACGGGCACTGCCCCAGCGCTGACACTTGTGATCATTGATTATGCGATCATATTTATTAGTCGAACTGCTATATTCCAAATTAATGTCGTTTTGCTTCGCGTTCAATTTGCTAGATCTTTCTTTCTTGAAAATATTTCACAGATAGAGGATGTTTCAACGTTGCCATCACAAGAAAATACTGCGCGCTACATCAACAAAGCAGCACAAAGATTAAACTTCAAGCCATCTCAGAAAATCTTCAACTTTCATTTTATTCCCTATCTTCGAATGTTCCTAGAAATGCAATTTTATAATGCACTTTATGACATCGGTGTCCTCAATGAGAATATTATATTTCAGATGACGACCTTTCCGACACAGCAAACGTTGTTCAAAGTGTTTCCGGTTTCTGAATAAATATGAACAAAGCGTTTTCTCGAATTGGATTTGGACCTTTCTGTCGAGATACAAATTTCGAAGCTCTTTTTATTGCATTATTCGTTTGAGTGCTCGCTTCACGAATGCAAAATTGCGCAAAACCTTCGTATCTGGAGCGCCGAAGCAAGGACAGTAAACCACAAACATTGGTTTGTTTTTCTCACGAATATGAACTTTTGAAAATTTGCAAAATCTCTTTTTGGTTTGCACAAATCCTTCACCTCCGAAAACCACATGCCGACCTCATTGGCTTCCAAATGGCCAGCCAGCACCCTTCAGATTTGCACTAAGTAATCCCTAAATTCTGGCATATAAGACCGCTTTTTGGCCCAAATAAGTTCGTCTCCAGCTGAATCCGCTCAAGAAGTCCTTTTTTTCATTATAAATTACCTAAAACCTTGTCAAATAAGCCCGAAGCGGCCTTATACGTATAGGCTCTATATGCCAGATTTTAGAGTGATTCAATTGTAATTCAAGAATTTACCTTGTGAGTTTTGATTCCTTTGATGGAAACCACAAATCCCACTCCGCAGCCATCACGTTCTAGCTGCGGGAGCCAGAGGCCTTCTTCGGCCGCTTCTCGAAGTTGCTCCTTCGTTAGAATAACCATATCAAAGGCCTAAAGGATGCCACAGTATAAAATGAAGAATCTAGGATTCATCAAACGAGTTCAGTGATCGGCAAGCGTAGTGCCCTAATTCTAAGCATTATCTCAAAGAGGATACAAGAAATACATCAACGGTCAGTGAAAGGATAAGAATTGTGACCAAAAGTGGACTTTAACTGTGTGCTCGAGGGCATTTCGCAAAATGCCTTGCGAGAGTTGTGTAGGATACAAACCAGGAACTATCCTAAACCGGCAGCTTCACTAAAGGATTTATCAACATCACCGTTCAGAAAAAAAAACATTGCTCATAGAAAATGGAGATGTGGACCCGCGCAACATTGCCGCTTCGGTAGCACTGGCGTAGGCGCGTTACATACGGGGCGGAGTGTAAGCTAAGAGTTATCCAGCAAAAAGAAAAATTTACATTAGCGCAGAATATACTGGTGGATGGAGAAGAATATGAAGTGTTGGCAACGTCAGGACTTTCATAGTAATGGCAAAAATCCCTTCGTCTTTTTGTCATCTCTCAAATGCGCAAGATGGGATCGACGCATAGGCCTTCACCTTCATTTGCTCTGAGCGTGTCCTCAAGCTCACTGAGGCATCTCAAGAAGAGAACTACATGTATGACAAATGACCGGAGAAGAAGGCCGTGGATGAGAAGTGCAAGAAAAGTCTGCAGAGGAAAATACATCGGAAAATAATCTCGGATATTGACAACGAAGAACATTTCTTGAAGCTCAACCTCTATATTGATAGTTGAACAAGCAGTTGCTCTCTGAAAAATTTGCTCAAAAACAAAAGACTTATGGGTAAGATCTAAAGACTCGAAAATGCATACGTCAAGTAAAACGCATAACTCTTTTATAAGACTCTTTTATACGACAACGAAACTTGGCAAAACCCAACGAAAGCCGCATTTTATGCTTCGACGAGCATGTTTAGGTCATAACGCAACATTGAACAGCGTTAGAAGATGTGCAGAAAAAATCATAGGCTATGGAAAAGCCATAAAATCTGTAAAAGCATAGAAAAACCGCGTAAAATTCTGCAAAGTGGCTTAGCTGTAGACTTAAACCGACACTCTGTTCAGAACGGAAAATTTTTACCTCGGTGAAAACTATCAATGTACATGAAAATTTAGATTGAGCTCATATAGAAGGAAATTTCTGAAATGACTTTAGCCAAGCCCTGCAAACATAAACTTAAAAAAAATTTCTGAAATTTTTCAGGACCCGAAGTCCAAATTATTCAGCCAGCTACCCCGCACACAGTTTATCTGACACGGTTAACTAATAATTTGAATTACCTTAGCACCTACTTGAACCAACAAATGTGTCTTATAGACAGTTTCTGAAGTTGTCGACCCCTCACTCCGGCGATGCTATGCTATGCTACAAGTATTTATTGAGAGATAAGGGAAAGCAAATTTATGAAAGGAAAATATATAGAGAGAAGGCATCAAAAAATTTGCAAAAAGCTAGGCGAAAAATTAAGTCAGTAGCAACAAGGAGTACAAATAATGCATAAGATGGACACAACATAGACCAATATTCACATAAGCAAGAATTTATTGTATGGATCCAAGAAATACTTCAAGAGTGTATATGATCGTGACAGCAAAAAAAAATGTTTTACAGATGATAGCTATTCCAAAAGCTAGTAAGTTACAACAGATCAGTTTGAGCAGGATAACGATAAAGCGAGTTGAGAAGACTCATTAGCCAAAGACTAGTGACAAAGTTTATAATATGCACGAACACCGATAAAAAATTTATTTTCTGAGTATAGACGTAAATTTGGAATATGATTAGTGAAAATAGCAATGTGCTTAGTAATGTGCTTGAAATCGAGAAATTTTGACCCGAATATCCAAGAATGACTCCCAAACATGAAAATGCATTTAACAACTGAGAACTCTCATGTTAAACCAAGCATAGCATTAGATCTTCTAAGCAACAAGCATTAGAATAGCAGAACCACGGAGTGTAGATAATTCTAGAGTTAAAAGCTTAGCTTGATCATTAGCTATTCTCTCCTTCAGCTTCACATTCACCAAAGCCTTGCAAAGCTAAAGCGACCAAAAAGTTCAGCCCCGAGACACTGGATGATTCATGGTCTAGGAATGTGCAGCTGCGCGCACTCAGTCTAAGATCTGACATTAGCATAGAACATATCCTGTTAGATTGCAATGAACATCCAAAAATGGGCACTTAAAGTTCTTTTCAACGAATTCCGCCTTTTTATCATGATCATTCACTTTGACTGCATAGTTTTGAAAGCAAGTTAGTACAATAAACCCCCGCATAGTCGCTGTTCACACAGGAGGTCAAATGAACCGAACTTCATAAACTGATAATAAGTCTGGCGCTTTTCGAAGGTCACGATTGGGTAACTATGATAAGACGACAGGAACAACCTAAGTAAACAAACGAATGCAGATTCGTCATTGGCGGAGCGTTACAACCAACTATAAAAGTGCCTTGGACGACAAGTACTACGGGCCTATCGGATTAGTCACTTAGAATATGCCTTGACGGGATTATGATGACAGAAAACGAAAGTGGAACGCTGGCTAAGAGATTGAGCATCGTGCTCAAACTCAAGGTTTTGAGGAAGATGTAAAGGGCGATTTGTCCACTTCAAGTACAAGAACAGCTATGAAAGCATAATCATGCCGCACTAAGAGATGGAGGAGATGGATGGAATTAGGAAAAAGCTAATCTATCTAAGTAGGAAGCAAAAATGTAATCAAGAATTTTTAGATCATTGTAATGATAAGTCAGATCCATGATAGCGTGATAGACAATGACATAAGAGATCTCAGGCTCAAAAAAATATACGGATTCTGGAGTAATGAAAAGTCTTGAAGTTCTGGTAAACTGCTACTATTAAAGGATTGGAATAGCAAGGAGTGATGCCAAAATCTCTCACAGCTCACCACCAAAAAAAGTTGAGAGATTAAAGAACTTAAACCTATGGTACGATGAGAGTCTTTGTGCTTTGATATCATAAGATACCTTTTATTCAACCGGCTTGGCGGCTGGAAGGTGGAGCTTCGTGACCTAATTAAGGCTAGATAATGATCAGAGAGCACGCGCCCAAGAGAGACGCAGACTGCATAGCAGGCGCGAGCGGCCTTGATTAGGTCACAAAGCCCTCGCCTTCCAGCCACCAAGACAGTTGAATCAAGTCAGAAATAAGTAATTTTGTACAATCTAGCTTGACATTCATGATTCATAATTAATTAAATTTGAAGCATTGCAGAGAGATCATTTTTCACAAATACCCTAGCAAAAGAATAGTCTTCTTCATATTTTGCTAGGAACAGTCGTAACTGCCATTTCTGAGTGACGTGAATGTCTTCTTTGTTGCTTTGAATCCGAGATTTGAGATCCTTGTTTCATATCTCTTGAAGAAAGTCAACAGACTTACGACCCAGAAGGAGGACTATACCAATAGCAGTGAATCAGATCCAACCAAATGTAAGAAGAACTATGTTTTGACATAGACGCTAGCCTCACGGACAATAATTCGAAGCGTTCGTGATTGAACGATAAAAGAGCACCGATGTAAACGTCTAAGAAAATCTGAGTCAAAGAATTTAAATAGCGACAACTGAAAATGAACCAGTACGGTCACAAGCACAATGAGATAGCAGAAAAATATGTAACTGAGTCAAGATGTAATGATTTTCAGGGTTTGGCGGGAACTCGTACTAATGCGCGCAGATCAAACATGCAACCGTGCAAAGTTTGGATGATGAAAAGATGAGATCAATCGACCTGACATGGTTTGCATCAAGTAATCATGGAGGCAGAGCAAAACAACCACATTACAGCAAAAAAGAACTTGTTTTACTTATGAAATTCTAGCGATCACACTGACCGCCGCTATTTTTTGCACACCACACTGAAGGCGCGAACTTTTGACCTACCCGAGGTGGCGTCAACCACCTACGAAGGCGCATGTGAAGTGCATGTTATGAAATGTGTGGCTAAGAAGACGTTTGACGTAACATTCTGTTCTCGATGACGTTTGCCATTTGCGGCACAAAATGCGCACGGCTCCGCGAACACGGTAAAAACGTCTCCAATGACTGCTCTCCTCCGCATGAGTGTACGAATAAGTGCTTTTCCAGTTCCATGTTTCCATTAAAAGAGTGCTTGCGGAGATTCGTGAAGCTTTCATAATGGAAGGCTATGTCACAAAGTGCAGCAAGTTCTGAATGCGCAACACTTCAGCGCTCAATAACGGGACAATTGCAAAGGTTTTGCTTGAAGAGCCAAAGAAATTGTAATAAACTTATGGGTAAAATCTCAAGATATTGCATGCTTATGGTCATATGAACTGGTAGATTATAAAAAAGTGCAAAGTAATGAGCATATAACAGATTTTACTTTCAAAATGCAATTTGCGGAGCGAAACAAAGAGCGATCTCAGCAAAAGCAAAACCTCAGCTTCGTCATCTTCGCATGCAAATTGGTGATGGGATTCATAAGATGCAGATTTCGTGATAGTTTTCTTATAAAACAATCCAAATGTCACGCATTCTCGTGATTTTGCAACAAAATGATTACAACATAGGAATTCAATGTTCTTGAAGAGTAGTCCGATACGATGCAAGTCATGCCTCAAATACATCAAAAGTAAATTTTCTTTACAAGGATGTTAGTGAAAGCTAATAGAAGGTACACTAGCTCTTGAAAGCTAATGAAACAGCAATTATGCAAATTACCTTTCGAAGGGAAACTCTAGTGCCTAGGTAGGACAGTAGAATATTTTAGCACAGATACATAAAAACGTTTAGAACTGATCTTGAGGGCAACACATGGTTGTGAGGATAAAAGATACATTATTTGGGAAAGGAAATCTAAGAGTAAAATTTAGGTTTTCAAACTATTCAAATAAAGTCCTTGGATACTGGTTCCACGTACCGAGAGGCAGAAAAGTAAGGTTGATTAGGCAGGGAACATATAATATTTTGAATCTATCACACTCACATATACTTTGCTGCATGATGAAGGCGCAGAAGCAGTATTAGTTGAGCGGCGCGAACGCGGCGCGCGCGTATCCTCACCGTTGTAAATCCTTCGCCTCATGCGCTTTGCGGCTAATAAAGCCGCGTTCGCGCCCAAATATTGCGCCTTCGTCATGCAGCAGCTATAGTTATGATTTAGTGAGTACAATTTTGCTCATTTTCTTCCGGATCTTAGTATGTTATAAATGCAGTTCAAACCCAAAATATTGAGAACGAACTTGTTGAATGAGCATAGATGCACCATATTTCACGTTCAATCAAATAAAATGAGAATTTCAAGCCGAGGCGTCCGTGATAACTGAAGAAAAGTTAGCTGAAGAATGGCAAACAACAAAAACAGAAGTGAGGTGCAATTGCGAGCAAAGGCTGAAATTTCAGCTTTGCCAATATTTGCACGCATATATGGGTTTGAACATTTCGAAATGTGACGCGATAGAGAAAGTACATGGAAATCAAAACATGAAGTGCATAAAATCCACAGTAAAAGGTAAATGGAGAGCTTATCACAAAAGTGCTCAAGTTTGCTCAGCAGCATCGTTCATCGACAGAAACAAATCATCCAAAAATGAATAAAGATGCACAAGAAGGAGGACACACTATGAAAACAATAGCAAACAGTAGGGATAAAATACTGTTTTGCAGTAATATAGAGTAGAAATGGGTAATGCTTTTTCTAGAAAACGCAATCTATCCCCTTACGCGATTCCAATAACAATATTCCAAACTCAATTCGCTGAGAAGAAAAATTACTCTCAAAAACTGATGAGATCACAGAGTTAGTACTAAAAGGGCAGTGCAAAAGTAACTAAATCAACTACTTACATATATTTTTTCTATTTGTCCTCTATTCCAATTACCTCGTCAAATCTCTCATTGAGTTTGCAATGAAGCAATGTTGTCCCGTGAGCATGCGGAAATAGTGATTCTGAGTGAGTATAGGTAGATATTGTTTCATAGTCGCAATTTTAGCAAAGATCAGATCGAATTTAAGATCTTCAAAAATCAAAAATTGCATCCCAGCACATATTGTACACTAAAAAACATTGCGCGATTTCCGCAAACGCTCACAAAAAATGATGGCCAAGTCGTAGGAGACAATATTAATCTAAATAAAGTACACATGTCGAGAGTTCGTTAGCTAATAATTTCAAAACGAGGACGATTCTTCAAATGAACGCTTGCCAATTTCAAAGCTTCTACTTCATAGCTGAAAGAAGAGTATAACAAAAACTTGAGCATCAGAAAGAAAAATTTGCAGACATACATATTAGACGAATGGAATAGAAAAAGCAGAATAAAGTCACAACTCGAACGACACTGACGGTTTTG